AGCATCTGTTACTTTTAAAGTAGAAACGTGTAACTGAACAAAAATAATAGCCGGGGATTTAGCTCAGTGGTGCCGCCGCCTGCCTCGCAAGTGGAAGGTCCCGAGTTCGATCCCCGGTACCAAATAATAATAATAATGATGATGATGATGATAATGATGATGATGACGACGACGATGGTGGCGGCGGTCGCGTCCACGAGTGGAGCGCCGGCAAGTCCAGGGCTGCCCCTGCAACTTCCCGGGTAGCACCCTAGAGCAGCCTGCAGTCCTGCGCCTCACAGTCCCCACCCCGCCAGGGCTGCACCGCAGAGGCAGCAGGTGCCGACACTAGGCAGGGCCTGCACGCCTCGGGCCTACCTGCTCTGGCCTCAGCCTTGGGCCGCCCTCCAGCTGCCGCTGTCGCCGCCCACCACCTTTGCAGACCTCGGCCCTCCCCGGAAGTAAGCTGCAGGAGCGCGCGGAGCACACCGGGATGCTACGAACGCGATGGAACTGGACCGTCGGGAGCCCGAGTCTTCCAGTCAGTTCGCCCAGCTGGCGGCTGACACCTACGGGAACCAATGAGCGGGCAGCTCGCCCAGATACGCCCTCCATGGGCGGGGAAGCCAATCCTGATGCAGATAGGCGCCCACGCCCATCTCGGAAGACGCTGGGGAGAGCGTTGAAGGATGGGTCCCAGGGAGTAAAGAGACCGCGGGACTCTTTGGAGTCTGTCAACCGGGTCAAGACCCAGGGAGGGAAGGTGGAGGCGGACGGTGACCCAGGCGAGTGGCGGTGGGCCTGCACGACCGCGGAGATGGACTTGAGGAGCAGGAACGGGTCTAGGGATAACATTCCTCTTTTCTCGCGTTGGAATTCAAAGGCTGGACCGGAAGTCCGGCGGCGTCCAGTTGCCTTGGCAACCGGCGGTGTGGGCGGGGTTAACGGGCTACGGGATAGAGGGTGCCTGGGTGGGACTCAGAGGGGAAGCGGAGCGTGTGCTTCTGCCAGATATGAACAGTTTCCGCAGTTTCCTCGAACATTTTGGGCATTACCCACTCCTGAGCTACAGCGCATGCTCGTTTTGCCGGTTATGTCTTTCCCTCCCCTCAGTCTCTGGCGCCCCCCCCAACCTCGGTGATTTAGTTGCCCCGAGATATACAATGCTGTGCCCTGAATTTGCAAAGCAGAGCCCCCGGCTCCAATACACTCCCTGAGTCGTGTACCAGAAGTGTCCCCACCCTGCTGCTCCCCTTTCGGGACGCACTAAGCAACAGCTCAAGCTCAAAGAAGCATAGAAGAGGCAAGAAAGCCCCGCTCATGTCACCTGCCGCGGCCCCGATGAGGGCACGGACTGCCATCCTTCTCGGACACAGTGACCTCTTAGCCACAGGGTTCTCCAGACCTCTGCCCCACAATCCTAAAGCCCTCTTGCTCTGTCTCCCAGGGCCCAGCGTTCTTTTTAGACTGTGGGTTACAAGAGGTTGGGGACTGATCTGAGTGGCAACTCCATACAAAATCTCTTGGAGACCCCAAAATTGCTTTAGTCTATCGCTTGCTGTGAGGCTTGGGATGGGAGTATAGCCCAGCGGTAGATGAGTGAGGCCCTGGGTTCCACCTCAAGTACCATTAAAAAAAAAAAAAAAAAGTAATAGGGCTTCAAATTCCCAGTTTGATTCAAATTCTTTTCATCGTTTATAAGCCTCTCCAAGTCTGTAAAATGGACATAATAGTGATACAGGGTGTATGATATAGGACCTCCAAATAATCCAAATTATGTAAGGGAAATATAACTCCCAACCTTCTAGGT